ATATATATATATATATATATATATATATATATAGTGATCATTATATACATTTAACAAGACAAACATGTAATTTTACTGTAAAATACTTGTAGTGAAAAATATGATGCACCTTATAATTTACATTTTTAAAAATCCAACTTGTATTTTTAGGCAATATGTGTATTTTTACTGAATTTATTTTATTATTTTATTTATTTATTTTTGTTACAATTGTTCTTTTGTATTAAAATATTTTAGAACATATATTGCCAATAATATGAACATTTTGAGCAAACAAACCTTTGAATCAGTGGATTGTTAAATCTTGATTCAGTTATTTGAAATTAACAGTTTGAAAGAAGTGATTCACTTAAATTAGTCAAACTTATTTACTGTGAAATTACAACTTTATCTGTACAACTAATATACGTTTAAAAAGCTTTTAGATTCAAGATTATTGTAGTTGATTTAGTTGTTACATTGATTATATTTTCATCATTCACCAGTGATCTTTGCTGTTTTTGTCTTTTTTTTATAAATTTCAAGTGTTTTAACTTGAATATTTCCAATATATACATTATAACTTTACAGTTTGCATTGCATTAGTTGCTAGTTGTGAAGAGGTCAGCCTTTCACAAGGTTTTACATCTTAAAAGTCTTAAAGGTACTGTAGTAACAGCAGCCTATTTAATTGATGAAGTCAGAGAAAGGTTGAAAATATTAAATGAAGTTTTTGGTGCTAGAAACCTTTGATTAGCATTGTAAATGTACTTTAGGAACAAGTGCAGAATATATTTAAAAATAGTAAAGAGTAGCAAATGAGATAAAATGCCGTCTTATGCTGCTGGTCATGAAGGCTGGTGGAAATGGTGAAAGTGTTGTCAGGGCATCAAGGAAAGGACCGTGTTGAGACTTGCAGGCTAGAATGGAGAATCCCGTTGTGGAAATTCCCTCATTAATGTCGGGATCTATTACAGCAGATATAGAGACCACTGAAGCCTTGTTTAAAAGAAAAGCCTTTTATTTAACAACCACTTTTGCCTGGCAAGTGCTTAAAGGACACTTCAAATTCAGACCTTCAAATATGGTGATGCGTTGTTCTTTGATAGTGTGTTTTGAATATTGCATTCGTGTATGTTTGAAAGCAGAGGAAATGAGAACTAGACACAAATCTGTGTCCATAAATTCTCCTGGTCTTCTTCCTCAAGCCCTCGACCAATCAGAGAGAAACTCATATAAATGATGCATCGTGCAGATCATATCATATGAATTCTCTCCAGAGATCTCTCCTTTGATCTTTACGCAGACCACACACGCTCTCAGGACATGCCATTTGATGAATGACATTTAATATATACAGGTGCATCTAAAAAAATTAGAATATCCTGAAAAAGTTTTTTGTAACTTATTTCAAAAAGTGAAACTTTCATATATTCTAGATTGATTACGTGTAAAGTAAAATATTTCAAAAGTTTTTTTATTTTTTTTATTTTGATGATTAGAGCTTACAGCTCATGAAAGTCAAAAATCCAGTATCTCAAAATATTAGAATATTTACTATTATATTTGAGTGTCATTAATTGACCATCCCTACAGTATAAATTCCGGGTATCTCTTGTTCTTTGAAACCACAATGATGGGGAAGACTGCTGACTTGGCAATGGTCCAGAAGACAATCATTGACACCCTCCACAAAGAGGGTAAGTCACAGAAGGTCATAACTGAAAGGGCTGGTTGTTCACAGAGTGCTGTATCAAAGCATACTAAATGCAAAGTTGACTGGAAGGAAGAAATTGGGTATGAAAAGGTGCACAAGCAACAGGGATGACCGCAAGCTTGAGAATACTGTCAAGCATAGCCGATTCAAACAGTTGGGAGAGCTTCACAAGCAGTGGACTGAAGCTGGAGTCAGTGCATCAAGAGTCACCACGCTCAGAAGTCTTCAGGAAAAGGGCTACCAAGCCACTTCTGAAACAGAAACAACGTCAGAAGCATCTTACCTGGGCTAAGGAGAAAAAGAACTGGACTGTTGCTCAGTGCTCCAAAGTCCTCTTTTCAGATAAAAGTAAATTTTGCATTTCATTTGGAAATCAAGGTCTGGAGTCTGGAGGAAGACTGGAGAGGAACAGAATCCAAGCTGCTTGAAGTCCAATGTGAAGTTTCCAAAGTCAGTGATGATTTGGGGTGCCGTGACGTCTGCTGGT